TGGTGGTTCTTAAAGGGCTTTTCCAACCTCAACGATTCGATGATTCTATGACTGGCGTGGGGCTGGACTCCCAAGGGTCCCTTTGTGTCTGCAAAGGGCTCCAAGGTGGGGCGCAGGCTGGGTGCCCGTCCTGGGGGGATCGGCCGTCCCCAGCCCTCGGCAGCGGCAAGCCTGTTGCCGTCTCTGTTGCCATCTCACCCATCCCGGCTTCTCCCTGCATCCCTCCTCAGGGCAGGGCTCCCACCCTCCTACCCGGCCAACTGGTTTGTGACCCAGGTGCTGAACCTCTGCCAGGAGGAAGAGGAGGGATGAGCTGGGCAGGAGCGGCCGCACCGCCGTGCAGGGCCCCCGGCTGCAGGGCTGGGAGGTGGACAGTTTGGGGAAACATCACTTTGGGGCTGGATGACGGCATTCCGCGGGTGACGCTCCGAGTCCTGGCAGCAGCGATTCCTAGGGGAATTTAACGCACCCTCCCCAAACCAGCCAGAGAGTCACTTGGTGAAGGCCTTTATTGGGCAGAGCCAGCTCCAGCAGGAGGTTGGGCAAATCCCACCCCAACCCATCCTCATGGAACAGGGCTCACTGGGTCTTGCTCCGGGCCCTGTTTGCCCTCCTGCAGGAAACTCCCAATGCAGAGAGGGTTTTACAGCTTAGCTCTATCAACCCTGGGTGCAAAACTTTGCCGGGCAGGGAGCGGGGCCCCAGCCCGATCTGCCTACACCCCTGCACCTTCGGGGCTCACGAGGCAGGGCAGCGAGGAGGGCTCAACCCCTCTGCACTGCAGGGGCCAGGCACCCCATCTCCCTGGGGCCTCCCTCACCCCCAGTACCGGAGTTTGGCTCCACTGTCTTTGGAGCGGTCCTCGGGTTTTGGCGATGCCACAGCAAAGAGGTTTTCAGGCTCCAGGACGAACATGTTGTAAAGGTTCCAGAGTAGCATGGCAAGGAGGGGCAGGAAGGTCATGCTGAAGCCGAAGGCGCGGAAGGAGCGCCCGATGGCGTACATCAGCCAATAAATCAACCTGGAGAGGGCAGAAAGGTGCGGACTCAGCGAGGGCGATGCCTTGGGGCTGGCACCCAGCTTCGCTCAGGGTTTCTGACCCCAGCAAGGGTTTGCCAGGCACGGCTGCTGCAGGAAGTTAGGGTGGTGAAGCACCGGAACGGGTTGCCCAGAGAGGCGGTGGAGGCCCCATCCCTGGAAACATCCCAGGCCAGGTTGGACGGGGCTCTGAGCACCCTGATCTGGTTAAAGCTGTCCCTGTCACTGCAGGGGTTGGGCTGGATGGGCTCTAAAGGTCTCTTCCAACCCAAAGCATTCCATGGTTCTATGAAGTGGGATGAGGGATGGAGCAACCCTTCCCCTGTGCTGCCTCTCCTGCCTGTCGTTGGCTGGGTGAGACACTGCCGGAGCAGGAGTTTGCACCGAGGCGTGGCGTTTGCCAGCACTGATGTTTGCACCCCGGGCACTGGTAAAAGAGCCACTTACTGGGAGATGGCGAAAAGCCCCGTGAGCAGGGGGATGAGCTTGAAGACCTCCTGTGGGAGGTAGGTGGCCAGCACAGCCATGTTGAAGAAGTAGAGGATGAAGAGATGGATGGACTGGGAGACGTAGGTGCGGTGGATCTCCACTTCCCGCTGCAGCTCCCCGAAGGGCTCCAGCGCGGAGGAGCAGAGGCGGGAGATGCCGCTGACGATCATCCCTGGGGGGAGCAGAGAGAGGGGCTGAGAAGGCGCCCAGCGAAACTGCATTGGGGCCCAAGGGCTGGGGGAGGACCAGAGAGAGATGTAATGGGGTGGGAAGAGGGCAGGAAAAAGTCTGCTCCTCCTGCTCGGAGCAATGGAGCTGCAAAGAGCTCGG